TAGATTTGGCATTTCTTGCCTTGACTTTAGTTGCCCTCTTGTGGCGGGGCCAAGCTCTGGTATGAAATTAGATATGATTTCACTCAAGAAAATTGAAAGTGTTGCGCGATTCTGATCCTCCTAGACTAAAGGAAATTCATTTGAAGGAACCGGTAGAGTTTTAATTCTTTTTCTTTCGTTTTAGTGCTTAGAGAAGAAGTATTCAAATATAATCGAAGTGATTCCTGCCATTCACAGACTTTCCAGCACATTGAGGTACCTGGATTCCAGCATGCTTTTCGAATACCTAAAATTTATGTACGCAATTGCTTGCCAGACTCCGAGGTTTCTAGACAATCAATCATGCTTGATACAATCGATTAATCAAAATGATTGACCGTCTATGACCCCTATTACACATATACAAATAGAACTAAAAAGAGGTTAAAATATGCATAGTAAATATTCAAATATTCGTGTTTAAATACCAGTTTATAAATATTGTTAAACTTATTTTTTTAAAAGCCAATACTTAATTATTTTTAATATTTAATGCTTGTTGTACTCACCTCTAATTACAATAAAATATGAATATGAGTTTCAACTGTCGTTCAGCTACTAAAAAATTCCTCAGCTTGATTTTGTTTGATTTGCAAAAACGTTCGTGATTGTGTAAGTTTTATTAGAAATGCGCAATAAAAGCACTTTTATTCATTTGATTGAATGTTTCAACTGCCACAAAGAGATAAAAAAATGCATATTAATATTACATGGCATACTCTCATGTACTTTGTTTAAGCACATTCTTTTTTAATTTTATTACAAGGCACTTTTTCAGAGGGCGGTAAAGAGAAGACGTCGTCATCCCTTACATACAATATGTTTCATGTAATCCCCTAACTATTTTGTTACACAATAATAAATTATTCAAAGTTCTTAAAACGGCAACAAAGTTAAAAGTAAAAAGAAAATGAAATGCTTACTTGAAATTGCAAAATGTAACAGCGCAAAAGAAAATATAAAAAATAAAGAAAACTGAAGCAAAACAAAGCCAACAGAGCAAACAAAAAATAAATAAATAAAACAGTGACGCGTCGTGCGGCCAATGTCCTGAAGTAACCGCTTGTACGAAAATTTTGTGAAAAGGATCAACTACAAAGGCAGGCAGGACAGTGCACACAAACGTAAAGTAGGACGTAGGACAGAGGCCAACAGTTGGGTGAAACGGCAGACCGGCAACCCTGCAGCAATGCAATGGGGTGGCATTTGTCGAGCACGAAGCTGGTGGCTTGGTGTGGCAAATGTGGATAAATAGGTGGGTAGTGATTGTGCAAACGACACTGGACTAGCTTGTGCTGTTTTAATATTGAACTGTACGTTGCGCAGCGGATGTATTTTTTTGTAATTGGTTCCTTTTTCTTTTAGGCGACGGATTGGGGATAAAATTACATGTAATTAACTGAAATATCAATAAATTTGTAGACCGCTTCGTAAATGTCAGTGTTTGTATAAAAAAGGCAGACATTAATTTAGGTGTTTATTATCTATTAAATCGATTTACGATGATGTCATAATAAACTATTTTTGGAGACATTTTGGCTTTTTATCTTCCTGGTTGTAGCTTAACTCCAGAACGCGCTTTGTGGTCTGACAGACCAGTTTGAAAGAGTTTCCATGACATTAAACAAAGCAAAGTTACATGTATAGCAGTTCAATTATTATTAGTTGTTTCTTTTTATTAATTTTTTATATTCAACAATTTTATTGAGCTTGAGGCCGTAAATAACAAAAACAAATTAATTTTTTTATATATTCTTATTTATTTTTTGTTAATTTTTTATATGTACGTATATTTCATATTATTTTACTCATTCATTTTATTTGTTTTTTTTTTTTGAATTCGTTTACATACTTTATCTTATGTCATGTTTTGATATGTTATTTTTTTATTTCATTTTATTTTTTATTTCATTTTATTGTATTTTATTTTACATATTTTTTAATTTTATTTTACTTAATTTTTATATTTTATTTTACTTTTGTGTTTAATTGAAAGAATTTTTCATAATCTTAATAATATTTTTGTTTGTTCGAATAATTACCTTTTTGGCAATAAATTATCATAAATCAGAATATAGGAAATAGCCAAGTTTATTTACAANATTTTTTTTTCATACTTATATGATCTAGATTTATTAATACATATAATATTTTATTTTTTATCTTTTTTATTTTTCAATTACTTTATTTTTTTGCTATTATATCTTTTTTTATTTTTTATCTATTTAACATGCATTATTTATTTTCCTTTATTGTTTTGTGCATATTTATTTCTGCTTTATTTTATGTTATTTGATTTATTTTAGTTTATTTCATTCTACTTTACTTTGTGTTCAATGTTTATTTTGTGTATTGTCTTTTATTTATTTTTTTCAAATATTTCCTTTTATTTTTTGTTTTATTTAACATTATTTTTTGTTTGAGCTTTTATTTATTTGAATTTTTTATTTATTTGACTATTTTAATTAATTCATTTTTATATAGCTCTTTATTTATTTATTTCCGTTTCTAATTTAATTATTTATTTATTTAATTTGGTTTTATTTTGTCTTGTTTCATTTTACCTTTTTTCTTTTTTTATTTCCTTTTTCCATTTTACCTTATGTAACTAAGTTTTTTATTTGAGTGGATTTTATTTATTTTGTTCATTTAATTTAAGTTTTTATTATTTTATTACATATGTTTATTTAGTTTTATCCTTTTTTACTTTTTTATTTAATTTATTTTTATCTATTTCATTTTCTTTTAATTTAATTTTTACCTCAAGCTCAATGAAATGTTTGAATATACGTAATTGTTATAAAGGCCACAAATAACAACAAAAAAAAATAACTTTTTGTTTTATTTAATTTTTTATTTATCTATTTTTATTTTACTACTATAATTTTGTTTTATTTCGTCTTATTTTATTTAAGCTTACTTAGTTTTTTTATTCCGTATTTCCATTTTATCTTTACTAATTGTTTTTATTTTAATTTATTTAATTTAATTTTGTTTTTAATTATTTCGTTGTTTTTTTTTATATTTGCATATGTATACATTTTTATTTTGTTTATTAAATTAAAATTTTTCATATATTTTATTCAGTTATAACCAATTTTATATAAAAAATTTTTGTACTTTGTGGTAATTTATTTATTTTTGATTTATTTGCTTGAAATTATTTCGTTCCAATTCATTTTATTTAATTTTCTTTCATTTTATTTCACTTTTTATTTGTTGAGTTTCTGCTTTAGCCAATTATCCAATCATTTCCAATGTTTCAACACCAATTACCATCCATCCCATTCACATTCGCATTCGCACACACTTCAATCCTTCATTTATTTATTTTCAATCAATTCAAAACAAATATTTAGCATACACATATTTTGATTGTAAATTATTTTTCGTATGATCGCACACAAAGCCCACACAAAACGTTGCTTGCTGCCTGCCGCCTGTCTGCTGCAGCCCTAGCTAAAATATTCCCTTTCAACCCTCACTGGCAATTCAGCGAAAAATCAAAAAGAACGAGTTGCTTGCGCTCGTTTAAGCATTTCCAACAGGAATTTCACACAAAAGTGCGCATTTAAGTGCCTGTGACGCATCCACCAACTGACGTCGCTTCCGC